TTGATGGACATGAGTCTGAGCAAACTTCAGGAGACAGTGAAGGACAGGGAAGCCTGACGTGCTGCAGTCCATGAGGTTACAAAGAGTCAGACATGACTTAGCAACTGAACAACAAATAGTTAATTCCAAATTCTCAAGGAGTTAAGAATGAGCTCATGAAGCAGCTCATGAATATGAAATTATTCCCTTAGATCTGCTAAGGTCTCCAAAGGCCTATTCACTGTAATAGCGGTGGTGGTTTAGCTGCTAAGTGGTGTCTGACTCTTAGAACTCCATGGACTGTAGCCCACCAGGCTCCTCTGTCCATGGGATTTCCCAGGCAAGAATAGTGGAGTAGGTTGTCATTTTCTTCTCCAGGGGATCTTCCCAACCCAGGGATCAAACTCAGGTCTTCTGTGTTGCAGGTGAATTCTTTACTGATTGAGCCACCAAGGAAGCCCACTGTAACAGTGGAAATGGGATTTTTAGGAAAAGAGATAATTTTTGACATGATTCTTCCAAGAGAAGCAGTGGGGCATATCTCAGAGTGGGAGAGCCTAAAGTTTAGAATATAGGTTTCAGTTTTTTTCACATAACCATCTGGGTGTCCTTGAGTTAAGTCATTTGCACGTTCAGAGTGTCTATTTCCTTGACTCCTGAAATGCGGCAGTTGAGAAAAGTCTCACCAGCTATAAAATTCTATGATTCTCTAACTAATAGTTTACTGCATCACTGGCATGACTGCCTTGATCATCAGCATGATCCAATTAACACTCTGCAATGTAGAATATGTCTGTAGTTTCGAAAAGTAGACTATATAGGACAGGAAGGAGTTTGGAACATGAAACACAGTCACTGTTTTTCGAAACAAATGAGGGGGCTTCCCTGGTGGCTCAGTAGTAAAGAATCCGCCTGCCAATGCAGGAGACATGGGTTCCATCCCTGGTTTGGGAAGATCCCACATGCCATGGGGCAAGTAAGCCCGTGCGCCATAACTGCTGAGCCAGAGCCCTAGAGCCCAGTGCCCTGCAACAAGAAGCCACCAGAGTAAGAAGCCTGTGTACCACAACTAGAGAGCAGTCCCTGCTCATGGCAACTAAAGAAGAGCCCGCACAGCAACAAATACCCAGCACAGCCAAAAATATTTCTTTTTTAAAAAAATGAGGACTCTGAGGTCCAAAGATGCTGAATGACTTTGTTAAATTACAAGCCAATTAGTGGCAAAAGCAAGACAAAGGCTGCCTGACCAGTCCTGCCTGCACCAAAATGCATGGCTACCAGTTGGCCTCAGGATGGCACACTTCACTAGAAGCTGCCCCAGTCCCCTTATAACCCATAGTGCGCTTTTTATGTGATTCATTAAACACAGCCTACATCACAGCTGGGCTTTACTGGCCTCGGGGCTCTTAGTTTTCCAGACATCTAATCCAGGGGACATTGGAAGAGTGGCCTGAAGGTCATCATGAAAATACACCAGAATCGAGTACTTTAAAAAGTCCTACAGGGTCATCGAAGACAGCAAGTATCTACACACTGTCTGCCTCCTTCCCATTTTATCAAACGAGTATTCGATAGGCGGAAGTTCCTAGGGAACCCAGTCCTGACCCACAACTTCAGGAACCAGACAGCAGCCTCCACAGCATAAGCACTTTGTCACTCTGGCTTCAGGCTGCTCGGACAGTGGGGTGGCTGCCCTGAAAACCTCTGAGAGACAACCTGGGGATTTCTGTGTAGGAGCGATGCTGCCTGCCATGCAATATGCTGCCACCTTCTCCAAGATGAGACAGTTGGTTGCAGATAGCACAAGGTACAGACATTAAAACCTGAACTACATTGGATCCAGCAACCTGGTTGAATCTCTAGATATCATAATGTGGGAAAGAAGTTGAACACAGATGAGTATGTGCTGTATGATCCCATCAAAACTCAGTTATTTGTGGAGACGTGGACGGACCTAGAGTCTGTCATACAGAGTGAAGTTCTAAGTCAGAAAGAGAAAGACAAATATTGTATATTAACATGTATATCTAGAAAAATGGTACAGATAAACCTCTTTGCAGGGCAAGAATAGAGACAGCGACACAGAGAACAAACAAATGGACGTCAAGTGGGAAAAGAGTGTGAAATAAATTGGTAGATTGTGCTTGACATACATATACTATTGATACTACATATAAAATAGATAATTAATGAGAACCTACTGTTTAGCACAGGGAACTGTACTCAGCGCTCTGTAGTGACCTAAATGGGAAGGAAATCCAAAAAAGAGGGAGTATATGAATATGTAGCCCAGCGGTGGCCTGGTGGCCCAGCAGTCAAGAATCCACCTGCAATGCAGGAGACGCAGGAGACTCAGGTTCAGTCCCTGGGTCAGGAAGATCCCCCGGAGGAGGGCTTGGCAACCCACTCCAGTATTCTTGCCTAGAGAATGCCATGGACAGAGGAGTCTGGTGGGCTACTGTCCATGGGGTCGCAAAGAGTCGGACACGTCTGAAACAGCTGAGTCTGCAGGCACATGTGTACGTGTGACTGATTCACTTCGCTGGACAGCACAAACTAACACAACATTGTAAGGCAATTATATCCCAATTAAAAAAAAAACAGAAAAAATAAAATAAAAATCAAAATGAATCTATAACAGTGATAGAAGTCAGACTAGTGATTACTTCCTGGATGAGAAATATTGACCAGAAGGGGTCCATGGAGCTTCCTAGGGTGGGGGAATGTTTGATTGCTGGATCTGGGTGGTAGCTACACAGGCATAAAGATATTTAAAAACTGGTCAACTTCTATACTTCAGATATGGGTGTCATTTACTATAATTATGTTATACTTTAATAAACAATGAATTTAACATATTGTGTGCAGACCCTTGATATGAATGGAGAGTATGCTTCTTCCTTTTCTTTTCCATAAGAGTATCTGAGATTCTCCAAATTGAATCTTTGCAAATAATATTACTAGCAATAACAATAGCTACATGAAGTACTTTTATGCATCAGAACCTGTGCAGGCAGACATAGGAATTACCTGAATTATCTCCTTTGATTCTTAAAACATTTCCGTGAGGTTGACCAATACCATCATATATCTCACAGATGACAAAACTAAGGCACACAGAAGTGAAGTAACTTGTCCAAAGTCACACAGCAAGTAAAATATCAGAACTGAAATTCAAACCCAAAGCAGTCTGGCTCCTGAGTCTATGTTCTTAACTTTTCGTCACATTTGATGGTATGTTGCAGGAAGGGAGAAGTTTTCAAAGTGAGGAATATTTTATCTAACTTTTCTCTGATATCACAGTGCAGTTTGCACACTCAGCATGAAGAGGAAAAAGGATCCAGAGCTTGGGCTGATAGGCTAACAATTCTCTAGTTGATTATATTCTTGAGATTCATTCAACGGATACACCTAGTTTGGTTCAAATGCCTCTTTTTTTGCCTTTAATAGCAGAGGGTAGGTGCTATTATTGGCTTGTTATAGCACAGTGGGAGCAACACAATGTTTTCACAGGCTATCCACTGGGCCCTCTAGAGCACTATGTCCTAGGACAGAATTTCCACCGCATGCCATATGCTTTTAAGGTCTGCCTTAGGCTTTTTGGAAAGACTAAAGGGGCTTACTTTCCTCTTCAGATAGCTTTTATATTGTTATGATATTAAATATAATTTATCTGTAGAAGCTGGAGAAGGCATTAACCACTCTTTAATTAAAAAACACAAAGCTCGTGATTTTCCAGACATCCTCTTCTATCCTTTACTGGCTCCTCAAGTAGTTTCTCTGAACTTTTCCTAAGGAAACCTATTAAATCATTAATTTCTCAACTAAAAGGAGACATAAATCATAGCTGAAGCTCCAACACTTTGGCCACCTGACACAAAGAGATGACTCACTGGGAAAGAGCCTGGTGCTGGGAAAGATTGAGGGCAGGAGAAAAAGCGGGCAACAGAGGATGAGATGGGTGGATGGCATCACTGACTCAATGGACATAAGTTTCAGCAAACTCCAGGAGACAGTGAAAGACAGGGAAGCCTGGTGTGCTGCAGTCCATGGGGTTGCAAAGAGTAAGTCACGATTTAGTGACTGAACAACAACAACAAATCATAGATCCTCTAAAAATCCATCCAGGAGAAAGGGCAGAAAGTAAATTGATGGTTTAGCCCCTCTTAGCAAACAGGCCCAAAGCGTTAACTGAGGTCTATATTATGAAAGTGACTTCCCAGGTGGATCAGTGCTAAACGATCCGCCTGCCAATGCGGGAGACGTGGGTTCAATCCCTGGGTCAGAAAGATGCCCTGGAGAAGGCAATGGCAGCCCACTCCAGCGTTCTTGCCTGGGAAATCCCCATGGACAGAGGAGTCTGAGGGGCCACAAAAGAGTCGGACATGACTTAGAAACTAAACAACAACAACAAGGTATCAGTGTAAATCGACAATGAGAAGTCATAGTACTGAGGGTGCAGTTTTGCTCTCTGCATCTCAGCCAAGCTCAAGTCTTGCTCTCCAGTGCAGTTTTGTGCAGTGATTTAAACACACACCCATGTGCACAAGCACACTCACAAAGAAGCAGGCATCTGTTTTCCTTTCTGGAAAATGGGCTTGAAAAAGGCAAGTTTTGGTACTGGTCAAAAAAATTAAATAAGAGCTCAGAGGACAATGAAAGCAAAGGTTAATCAGAAAACAGAACTTTTAGATAATTTCAGAATTACATGATGAATTTGGCAATAGCAAAAATGAACAAATTTAAATATTTATCTTAATATTTAAATATTTCTGATGAAAATCAGAGACCATGTCTCTCAAGCCAATGCCGCAACCAGAGCAGGAGCCACACACTGTGCAGGAAGCTACACGCAAGCGTGGGCAGCCCAGGGTTTCAGGGTCCTTCCTGATGTCACCAGTCTATTGTACTAGTTGTGCCGAGGAGGAAATAGAAAGATTTTGAAGCTATTTTTGAGAAACTGTTTCCTGCTCACTGGCAAATGGCAGAGCCCAAAATAGGCTCTCCAGTGAGGTTCTTACCTGGTCGTCATAGCGATATGTGAGGAACTGCTCCCCAGTTGTGTCCTCCAGAAAACTCCCCTGAGGGGAAAGTGCAAACTCAGGAAGGAAGTAGACCCCAGGAGACTTCTCTGTTGTGGTCTGAAAGGCAAGATTGCTTGGTTACACATAAGGCCCAGTAAGGACCCCCAGTGGGCTTCCCTGCTGGCTCAGTGGTAAAGAATCTGCCTGCCAATGCAGGAGATTCGGGTTAGATCCCTGGCTCAGGAAAACTCCTTGGAGAAGGAAATGGCAACCAACTCCATTATTCCTGCCTGGAAAATCCCATAGACAGAGGAGCCTGGCAATCTACAGTCCATGGAGTTGCAAAAGGGTCAAACACAACTTTCACACAACAACAACAAAGGACCCCCAATAGGCAGTCTCTGAAAAGCGTGAGTCCAAAAGAATCCAACCACAAAAGGTTTCACCAAGAAAAGGGAAGTGCCTATTTACAATAGCCAAGACATGGAAACAACCTACTTTCTTTCTGTTGTGATTGTTTGGTGAAGGAGTAAGAAACACACTTATTTTTTCCATCCTGTAACAGAAGTGCATATATCCTCTCTTTTTTGGAGTTCCTTCTTATTTAGGTCACCAGAGAGCACTGAGCAGAATTCCCTGAGCTATACAGTAGCTTCTCATTAGTTATCTGTTTAGGGCACAGAATATGTCTGCTGGACATTGTTCCTAAAGTCACCCTGGGAGGAAAAGGAAGGGGCGCTAAAGCCACAGCCCTTACAAAGACAAGAAGACCCTAAGACGTGTTAGCAGTGTTCCACGGAGCTCTATGTGAAATATCAGAAAAAGTAAAAAGTCTTCCTGGTATTAAAGCTTGTCATCCCTCAGTATTCTTTAGTGTGGGAAAAAATAGAAGACACTTATGGCTTAACTATAGCTGATTATCTTCTGCTTTGTGAGCCACTGTTCTGACTTTAAATTGCATTTATTAGACTCCTACAAATAAAAGCTGGGGAGGGTGTGGAGAAAAGGGAACCCTCCTGCACTGTTGGTGGGAATGTAAACTGATACATCCATTATGGAGATTCCTTAAAACCTAGGGATAAATCTTCCATATAACCCAGCAACCCCACTCCTTGGCATATACTCAGAGAAAACCACAATTCAAAAAGAGATACATGCTCCCCAATGTTCACGGCAGCACTATTTACAATAGCCAGGACATGGAAGCAACCCAGATGTCCATCGACAGAGGAATGGATAAAGAAGATGTGGTATACATATACAATGCAATATTACTCAGCTGTAAAAAGGAACAAAATTGTGCCATCCAGAGACGTGGATGGACATAGATACAGTCATACAGAGAGAACTCAGAAAGAGAAAAACAAATACAGTACATTAATGCATGTTTATGGAATCTAGAAAAATGGTATAGATGACCTTATTTGTACTTTTGGACACCAAGCGGGGAAAGGAGGGTGGGATGACTTGGAGATTGGGATTGACATATACACATTATTGATACTATGCATTAAATAGATAACTAATGAAAACCTACTGCATAGCACGGGGAACTCTACTCAATGCTCTGTGGTGACCTAAATGGGAAGGAAATCCAAAAAGGAGAGGACATATATACACATATAGTGGATTTGAACTTCCCTACTGGCTCAAATGGTAATGAACCACTCAAATGAGTCTGCCTGGAATGCAGGAAACCCAAGTTCGATCTCTGGGTCAGAAAGGTACCTTGGAGAAGGAATGGCAACCCACTCCAGTATTCTTGCCTGGAGAAGTCCATGGACAGAGGAGCCTGGTGGGCTATAGTCCATGGGGTCGCAGAGAGTCGGACACAACTGAGCCACTGACACACACATAGCTGATTCACTGTACTATATAGTATAAACACTATATTGTAAAACAACTATACCCCCAAATAAAAATAAATCTTTAAAAAATCACTTTTGAGGACTAGATGAATTACTAGGAGTAAATTTCTCATCTAACTTATGTTCCTTATAGTGTAGAAGCTCAAACAAATATATTTTCCTCCTCCTTTTGTTCCCCTCCAATCTCCAACAACCTGTGTACTAATTTCCAAATACTGACGTTCATTTGGTTAAGAATTCACTGATGAAATAAGCATATAGATTTCTGGATCATATCCAGAAAAAATAATTAAAAAAAAAATAAAAACTGAGATGGGAATAAAAACTTGAACATGAAAATCAAAGGTGAATTTGATGGTAAATTTATTTCTGTATTTCCTAGGAATCTTCAGTATGTGTAAAAGTATTGTTTTTCTAACCAAAATAAAAACACATCTAGGTAAACCTCAGAGCCAAATTTTATATAACTACTAGAAAATAATGGATTCTATCTTAAGATAATTCATGGAAGCTGATAACCAAAATGCTCAGCAAAGATCAATAAATGTTACCTGCCTCTATTGGCTTCAGAGATCATAGAATCATAGTTTTAAACGCCTGAAGAGGCCTTAGAAGTCATCTAGGTCAAACTCCTAAATTTAGAAATGAGTGAACTAAGGCTCTGAGAGTTAAGATACTTGCCAAACAGCACAGAGCAGGAGCCAGGGCTGAAACCTGTTAGCAATCATGTGCAAAGACACAGTTAGGTCATTTCACCAAAGGCTGGGGGCTGGGAGCAGCCTAAGATCACCACCCGAAACTAGCTCCCTAAAGACACAAAGCCTCCCTATATAATGGGCTTCTCAGATGCCTCAGCAATACAGAATCCCCCTGAAGTGCAGAGGACAAAGGAAACGCAGGTTGGAACCCTGAGTTGAGAAGATCTCCTGGAGAAGGAAATGGCAACCCACTCCAGTATTCTTGCCTGGGACAAGAGGAGGAACAATCCTAAGGACAGAGGAGCCTGGCATGCTATGGTCCATGGGGTCACAAAAGAGTTGGACATAATTTAGCAACTAAAAAACTACAATCCTGTATAATGCCTATCTTTAGTTGACCATACATTCAACACATATTTATTGAGCACCTACTATATGCCTGAAACTGTTCTGAGTGCTGTGGATACAATGACATACAAGAAAGATAAGGTATCTCTTTTCATGGAGTTTATACTCTAGTGGAAGAGAGAGATTTTTTTAAAAAGCAAACAAATTTCTAAATATGAAAATTAAAGCTCTAAGTGCTATAAAGTAAATAAACAGAGGGATATGTGAATAAAGTTGGGAGAAAGTTGTTTTAACTTCATATAAGAAGTGGGGTGTTAGAGAAGGCTTTTGAGAGTCTCTTGGAGAGCAAGGAGATCAAACCAGTCAATCCTAAAGGAAATCAACCCTGAATATTCACTGGAAGGACTGATGCTGAAGCTGAAGCTCCAACACTTTGGCCACCTGATGCAAAGAGCCGACTCATTGCAAAAAGACCCTGGTGCTGGTAAAGACTGAAGGCCAAAGGAGAAAGGAGGAGACAGAGGATGAGATGGTTGGATGGCATCACCGACTCACTGGACGTAAGTCCGAGTAAACTCCAGGAGACAGTGAAGGACAGGGAAGCCTTGTGAGCTGCAGTCCATGGGGTCACAAAGAGTCGGACACAACTAAAGTGACTTAACACACACGCACATACTAGATTCCAGGGATGCCTGGTTGCAAGATCATCATCTGTTTATCCCCATCATCTTCTTCGACCCTCCCCACCCCAGCTCCTTTCAGCTGTCTCACTCCAAGCTGGCTCTCCTTCCTGGGCTCCTCTAAAGCTGCCCCACCATTGAAAAAAAAAAAAAATGCTGCCACATTTACTCCCAAGAGGCTGCTTTCTGCAGCAAGGGGGACTGTCCTAAGCCTCTGTGATCAGAGTATTTGCCTGCTGTGCTTCTTCTATGCTATTAACAACAACTACAAACATTTCTTAAGCACCAATGAGCTTTTTTTTTTTTGGCTGCTGAAATTCGATTGGGTAAAATGACCTGTTTGCCTTACATTTTGTTCACTGTGTTCCTATTACAGGCTTCTGCCTCTGCCCAAAGGCATCTCAGTGCAGCATTGTGGAGGCAGTTCCAGAAGGCTGAGGGCTGTGTCTCCATCATGTCTGTGTTCCCCATGGAGATGTCTGGTGTGATTTAGTGAGAGTCTGACTGATGGCCACACTACCCGAGCCATGCAATAGGGGGTGAAACTTCTCGCCAAACCCATTCTGTGGGAATTAAAGGCTACCAGACGTGAAGAGTCAGACATGACTTAGCGACTTCACTTTCACTTTTCACTTTTATGCATTGGAGAAGGAAATGGCAACCCACTCCAGTGTTCTTGCCTGGAGAATCCCAGGGATGGGGTCGCACAGAGTCGGACACGACTGAGGTGACTTAGCAGCAGTTCCTGGACTAGGGCTTCCCTGATGGTTCAGACAATAAAGAATCTGCCTGCAACGAGGGAGACCTGCGTTTGATCCCTGGGTCAAGAAGATCCTCTGGAGAAGGGAATGGCTACCCATGCCAGTATTCCTGCCTGGAGAATCCCATGGACAGAGGAGCCTGGCAGGCTACAGTCCATGAGGTCTCAAAGAGCCGGATATAACTGAGTAACTAACACTTTCACTTTTTCTTTTCAGTCCCTGAGCTAGACCAGATTATCTCTAGGCTCACATCACACCCTGTGTCACTGATAAACTGATTTTACATTCACCTCTCTTGACCAAAATCCTTCCTCCCGAGTCAAGTTTCTATCCTGTGGGAGTTGATGCTGCAGCCGGGTGCAGTCCAAGTCCTCTCCATCTGTGGTGGTCAGCGTGGGCTGCCATGCTTGTGTGAAGTCTGAAGTGCTGACCTGTAGCATCCCAGGATAATGAAAGCTCAGTGCTGGAAGGGACCTTCTCAGTCATCTGATCCAGCCTGTCTCCCTCAGCAATCCTGCCCGATGCCCTGCAGCCTCTAAGTGAATACCTTTATGACAAGGAGCTCACTCCCTCAGAAGGCAACAGGGGTACGTCAGAATCTAGCAAACTAGAGTCGGGAGAAATTGTGAGACTGGGATTGATACAGCTTTCCTGGTGGCTCAGCAGTAAAGAATCTGCCTACGATGCAGAAGATGCAGGTTCAACCCCTGGGTCGGGAAGATCCCCCGGAGGCGGAAATGGCAACCCACTAGTCCAGTATTC